GGGGGGGGCTGGCGTACTTCCCTTCTAAGAAGAGGCAGAGGAAAGTGGGCTCGTTCAGCGTAGAGAAGAGAAAGCTTCAAGAGGGGCCTGAAAGTAGCCTTGCAATACCTACAAGATACCTACAAGTGTTATATTTTGAGTAAAAGCATTGGAAATGGTTGCCCAGAGAGGTAGCGTCGTCCATTTCTGAAGGTTTTTCAAGATCAGACAGGATAAAGCCCTGACTATATCTCTCCATTTGGGCTTTGTAATTGTGACACACAATATATGGCAGGCAAATATTCATGAATTCCAATGGGGTAGAAAGAATAGTCTTTCTCAGTCATTACTCCCACAGTAATTGCAGTACAGTCATCTTAAGTCTGAATGTCTGATGCCACCAAAATATGTTCAGCATTTCACTAGCAAACTGTATAAAGATTTTTAGCACCCTTAATAATTAATCACAAATGGCTTTACAATATAATTAATTGTAGATGCAGATGGATGTGTTTGCCAAAAGTAGGACTGACTTCAGTGCTTCTCTCTTGGCTTTTCTATTATGCAAATAGCCAGCTGCATTGTTCACAACCAAAGTAATGTAAAAAATTAAACCTACAAGTCTTTATAAGATCTAATTCTTTTTATTCATGTGTACACAAATTTTCAATCAAACGCTGTTCCACTGAAAACATCAGAAAAATCACGATACTATGACTGTAGCAAGCAGTAGAACATGGAAATAACCTCATTCAAAACAGTTAGTTGAAAATTAGCATCAGAGTAAAAGCAGATTTCTTCTGTGAAAGACTCATTAAATAGTTTTGTTCAATCACACAATCAAAACCTCAGTAAATGAATAATAATCCTATACTGATATAGGTACATATATGCCAGGTCAACCATAAAAAGAGAATGGCTTTAAAATGAACAGCAGGATAAGCACTTGCTTACAGTCATACAAAGCGATCAGGAATTTTTTGTGTGAATCGGAATTCTGATAAATACAGTCAGCTCCCTTCCATATACTTAAAAAGTCCAGAACACAAATTTTCACTTAGGGGGAAAAAAAAAAAAAATCAGTCATAAGGTGATGGGGGGGGGAGCGGGGGGGGTGGAAGACATGTCAAATGTTGCCTACTGCTAACATTGTGAAAATGGGAAAAACACACCTAGCCTGCTGCTGAATGCAGATTCACTCACTTGCATCACACTGTGATATACCAGTTTTCAATGGCAGATATGTTTCTGGGTTGTGCAACTATGCAGACAGACTGTGGTTCATATCTGAAGAGTTTTTCAGTATGTTTTAATCCAGACAAGAGCTCAGTGATGTAAAAGGTTGTAAAACTTTTCAATAAGGAATCTCAAGACAAAGGAA